GACTTTGATTCGAGGGAGGGCTGTGCAAAGTCACCAGCCTCAGTTTCTCCTCCAGAGCCATCTGGGTCCAGTGGCCAGATAGTCATCAGGACGACTGAAGGTGGTACAGTTTGAGATCCGTGGCGTGAAGGGCAAAACAGCCAGAATGAAGTGGTTTTCCTTGTCCAGATTACCAATGGCCACTGGGGTCCCGTGACCAGGCCTGCTACCTCACCTGTCTCCTCCTAAAACTATACAAACTTTATCATGGGTCTCTTTGTTTGGGAAATCCACTGGACCTCCCCCAGCATGGTAGGTTTGCTACCCTGTTATCTCAATTAAAGACACTTTATTCCTCTACTCATGGCTTTAATTTATTTCAGGACTTGACACCCCAAATCTACCTAGCGTTTGGCTGCTACATCTTTTACTGACCTATATTTCCCACTACTCAGTCAACATATATACTTGGATGTCTTATCAGCATTTAGAATATAATATATCCCAAACTGACCTAATCATTCTCCCCAGCCCCCAACCCCTACCCATCACAATCTCCTTCTCCTTCTGACTTTCTTTTTTCTTGGTGATCTGAAGGAAAGCAATCAGATCGTTGAAGGAATTTGATATCATGACATTGTTTTATATTACTGTAGAAGGGGAGAGGGCTTTATAGGCAATTTAAAGTTATTTTGAAGTTCCTTTTATATATTCCTGTTATATGTATATCTCATTCTAATCTTAGATCTTAAGGGGAAATTGTGGCATAGTAGATAGAGTATTGACTTTAGAGTCAGGCAGCTTAAGTTCTGAGTTTAAATTCTTTCTCTTTATGACTTTGGACAAGTCATTTAATCTCTACGTGTGTCAGACTACTTCTTAAGAGTTACCTGCTCTTTTTTTGTGGTGGCAAAGAATTGGAAATTGAGGAATGGCTGAACAAGTTGTGGTATATGAATGTAATAGAATACTATTGTGTTATAAGAAATGATGAGCAGGCAGACTTCAGAAAAAACCTGGAAGGACTTGTATGGACTGATGCTGAGTGAAGTGAGCAGAACCAGGAGAATGTTTACCCAGTAACAGCCACGTTGTGCGATGACTAATATTGATAGACTTAACCCTTCTCAGCAATACAAGGATCTAAGACATCTACAAAGGTTTCATGATGGAAAATGCTATCCACATTCAAAGAAAGAACTATGGAGTTTGAATGCAGATTGAAGCATACTATTTGCTATTTTTTTCTTCTGTTGTGTTTTGTTTCCTCTTCCTGGTGGTTCCTCTTATTGGTTCTAATTCTTACTTACAACATCACTAATGTGAAAATATATTTAATAGGAATGTATATGTATAGCCTACATCAGATTGTGTGATGTCTTAGGGAGGGAGGTGGAGAAGGAGGGGGAGAAAAATTTAAAACTCAAAAGCTTGTGGAAGTGATTGTTGATAAATCAAAATAAATTAATTGAAAAAAGAGTTACCTGCTAAGTCTCAGAGGAGTAACTGTGATCCATTGGTGAAGGGAGTCCCCACACTAAGAGTCTGCTATGCTGATGAACTCACAGATCCTTCATATATGTAAACTGGACTTAGGGACTGTATTACATAACAATGTTTGTATAATAATAACTTGCCCTCTAAATTTACAAACTGCTTTTCTAATAACAACTCCCTTATCCCATCCCCCAATTCCCCACTGTGAGATAGGTAGCACAAATATTAGCCCCATTTTACAGATGAGAAAACAGTGACTTGTCCATGGTCACACAGCTCAAAAGTATTAAAGTCTAAAATTGTGACTGGGTCCTCATATTTCCCCCCCAGATCTAGTGTTTTTACTTTGTACCTTGCTGAGGAATAGTTCCTTTTCTTCAAGGAGGTCAGAAAGGGCAGACCTTACTGAAAGCTGATTTTATCTATGGAATGACAGAGATTAAAGGTTTATTAAATCCTTCTCAGGTATGGTAGGGACCATCTAAAAATATTGTCTGTGTGAGTCATAGATTTAGCACCGAAGGGAGCACAGAGGTATGTAGCAGATCTGCTCATTTTAGAGATGCGAAAACTGAGACAGAGGAAAAGGACTTGTCTGCGGTCACACAAAGTACTGCTAGATGGCGCCATAGTGCACACCAGGCCTGGATTGAGGAAAACTCATCTTCCTGAGTTCAAATCCAGCCTCAGACTTTTACTAAATACGTAACCCTGGCAAGTCACTGAACCCTGTTTGCCTCAGTTTCCTCACCTGTAAAATGAGATGGAGAAGGAAATGGCAAACCACTCCAGTATCTTTGCCAAGAAAACCTCATATGGGGTCACAAAGAGTCAGATATGGCTGAAACGTTTCGACAACAACAGGTGATAAATGGAGAAACAGGATTCAAATAGTTGCTCTGACTGCAAATTCAGTGCTGTACCCACAATATCTCCCACTTGGAATGTGCCTCCCATTAGAACATCAATATGAATATGGGGATTTCTAATGTTTGGGGAATTTCAATCATCTTAAAATAAAGAAATCACATAACAATGCAGTCTTTGCTCACCAAATGTGACGTGGTTGGAGTCAGCAGAGAGCTGGTTTGGAATCCTGGATCTGGTATCTGTTAGCTGTATTACTCTGAGCCAATCACACACCGTCCAGGTGCCTCAATTTCTTAATTTGTAAAATAGTAACAACAACAACAAAAACAATAACAATAATATCTCTGCACAACCCATATCAGATTGTTTGCTGTCTTGGGGAGGGAGAAAAATTTGGAACTAGCAAAATCTTACAAAAATGAATGTTGAAAATTATCCTCACATGTAATTGGAAAAAATAAAATGCTATTTACACATGCACACACACACACACACACACACACACACACACATATACACACACACACATCTCCATGACCTTACAAGTTTATGCCAAGGAGTTAGGATTTGAGAAAGTTAACCTCTTGACCTCATGATGCAACACCTCCTGGTAATGTGATCTCTGCTCAATCTGGTGGATTTCAGTTTTGCCCTCTCTTAGACCTTTCCTGGAACTGGCTACCTGTTTGGATTTCTACAGCTTCTCTGTATACAAATCAAATAAGAGTGAGCTTAGATGGCAACAGAGACGTAAGTAAGTTTGCTAATGTCAGAATCAATATTTACAAAGAGTTAAATGCTATCAATAAAGTTGAAAGCTGGATAGAGAAGGGACCTGCAATTTTGTTGGAACAAGGAATGATTTATTTAGCACCTACTATGTGCAGAGTGCTTTAAAAATATTTCAATTGAACCTCACAACAACTCTGAGAGGCAAATGTAATTATGACCTGCAGTGTAATAAAATAATAATAATAATAATAATGTGTCAGGCACTTTGCTGAGTACAGGCCCAGCACTCTGTGCACTATGGCGCCACCTGGTGGTCTCTGTGGGGGACTACTGGAGGAGGAAACTACCAATGTAGACTGGCACCTTCTTTGAAATTTATAGGCTAAGCTGCCTAGGGCACTGAAAGTTTAAGTGATTTGTCTAGGGTTATACAGGCCCTAAGCGTCAGAGGCAAAAATCAAATATAAATTTCCCTAGATCTGAGGCAGGCTTTCTGTACATTACACCACAGTGTCTCTGAAAACTAGGTATTTGTTAATAAAGCCGAAGGCAGATGATTAGAGGTTAATTTTGAACTGACTTGACCTCAGTGGTTTAAAACAGTTCTATCATGTTTGCATGGAAGGGGTATCTCCTTCATTCTAACTGGATTTTTTGCATTCAACTCTCAACTCCCTCTCCTAACCCTATTTATATTCTTCATGGATGATGGTCTCATTTTATATGTGGAAACTAACACAATATGCTTCAGGTCAATTTAAAAACTCTCCCAGGACAAGGCTATTAAAAAGGGAAATGTTCATTAATGCAATGGAAAGTGTTTGGGGATAATTTAATAAAGGCTTATTAACACAAATTTATAGAATTTATACAATGTATAATATATAACATAATACAAATTTATAGAAGCAGGAAAGGACCTTAGAAGTCAGCTAGTTCAATCCCCTTGTTTTATAAATGAAGAAAAACAGCTAATTAGTGGCTGAGTCAACTGAAGCAAGCACCCCAATTTCCAGACTCCCAATCCAGGGGTTTCATCTTTCCTGGTTCCTTTATTGAATATGTATCAAGATGGTAATCCCTGACCAAGGCACAAGATAGTAATGCCGTAAGACCAAAAATAGAGAGGTGACAAATGGGAAAACACATAATGAGTAATCATGTTTGAGTATTTTTTTAATTAAAAAAAAGTATGGGAGAAGCCTTTAACATATGCATTGAAAAATAAACAACCACCAGGGAAAGATAATAGGCCCTTGCTACACTGTGCCAACCGCTCTTGGTCTTTTAAAGACAAAAAAAAGCAAGTGTAGAGAAAGGGAGCCCTGAGCCATAGATATCCAGTGCAATCATGCTTAATTTAAAGCTGGGGTGGGGGGTGCAGGGGGAAGGAAAGAAAGCCTCTTTTCATAACATGCACTGTTGTAGCACATTTACAAGGAAAGCTTTTTTTCCATAGGGAAGCCCAGCAAAATGAGGACCACATGTGCTTGAGGACTGAAGCAGGCAGTCAGGGAACGGGGATGTGCCAGCAGCTCAAACAGACTCCATGCAAAGAAAGCCACGCTTTTTAGGTCCCTAGTGGTTGGGTCAGTGGTGGAATCTCCAGTGGGCACTGGGGCTGATTTGTGGCAAGAGGTGACATGTGAGATATGACCCACAAGGTGGCAGCAGCCAGTGTCTACAGCCCCTAGGCCTCCCCTGGCTCAAACCACTGAGCTGTTTCTTTCCCCATTCACATCTCCCTACACCCCAACCTCTCTCTCCCCCCCCCCCCACTCTCCAAAGTTACAAACTGTGAGTTTTCTTCCTGATAAACCTCCAAGGCCCTCTCACTGATTGGTCTCAGTTTGGGAAAAGGACGTGACATCAGCAGCTTCTCTCCCTTGGTGTCCTGAGGTCTGGGCTTGGGCCAGCCCCCAGCCAGCCAGGGGAGGTGGGAGTAAGCCTTGGACCCAGGTGCTCAGGTTACCGGCAGGCTGCTGCTGCTGCTGCTGCTGCTGCTGCTGCTGCTGCTGGCACCAAGTCCCAGAGTGCTGCAGAGCCTGTGTGCTCAACAGATGAGTCACACGCCTGGGGCTTTCAGTGGCGGGGAGGATGGAGTTTGAACTCTCCTGAGCCACTGCCCTGCTCCCCAGCCCGGCCGAGCCCCATGGCTAGCCGAGGAGGCAGCGGGAGCACCAGCAAGCCCCAGGGCTTGGGAGGCCAGCCCTATCGCCAGGCCTTTGCAAACCCACTGATGAGTGGTGAGTAACCCTGGATCACGCAGGGGAAGCTTGTGCCTAGGTGGAGCCTGGGGCTGGGATGACTGAACTGATTCGGAAACACGGCATATTTGGGTACAGCTGCCAAGAAATGCATGCTTCATAAGTCAGTGACTTTTTTTTCTCAGCTGGACAGATATGTGTAATTGACTGGTACTGGTAGATGGATTTTTCTCATCTGGGAGTTAATTTTATTAATGAAATTGCAAATCCAGGCCCTATACATATATGCATATGTATGTGAGCATATATATGCATTTATAAATATGTGTACGCACATATATACACATGTATATATTCTCAGATGCATGTGTCTACATATAATCACACACATATACATTTGTGTGTGTTTATACATACATCTCTGTGTGTATATATATGCACATATACACATTTGCATAAATGTGTATATGTGCACACAACACACATGTGTGCACACACAACATACACATGGATGTGCACACATATGCATACATGTGTGTGAACTGGATCATAGAGAGGCAGGAATCATGGAAACCAGCTAGGAGTCTGGTTTTCATATCTAACTATCTATCTATCTATCTATCTATCTATCTATCTATCTATCTATCTATCTATCTATCCATCCATCTATCTATCTATCTATCTACCTGTCTATCTATAGAATATATGTGTATGTGTGTATGTGTGTACATATACATACATACATGCATACATACATACACACACACACACACTAGACTCCTAGCTGGTTTCTGTACACATATGTGTACATACATACATAGGCTTACATACATCAGCTTGCATTTTCAGATTGTTTACACCAGAAACAGGCTTCTTTGAAGCCTCTAGCTTTGGTGGTAAAAGTGCACAGACTTCGAAGTCCGTAAGACAGCGTCTGCCTGAGATTGGAGAACGTTTTCAATCAAACCATTTTCTCCAATAAAGATCTTAAACACTTAGTACCCATTAGGGACCTGTACGCAGCAGGTTCTCAAGTGAAACACTTGTTGCTCAAATGACTTTAGATGGAGACCAACTGTTACTTAAAGAGAAAAAGAAAAAAATTAATAGCTCTTCCAATAAATTCATGGTCTCTAAATCAGTGACTTTTGTTTTTTAACTGTACAGAGATGTGTAGCTGACCTGCACTGGTAAAGGGATCTTTCTCATCTAGGAGTTACCTTTATCTATGCAATTTCATGTCCAGGCTCTCTGTCTCTCTAAGTCTCTGCCTCTCTCTGTCTCTGTCTCTGTCTCTCTGTCTTTCTACAGTCCCATATATAGATACATACATAAATACAAGTGTATGTACCTCTGGAGATAAATCTATAAACATGCATGTACATGTGTTTGTGTATATGCGTGTCTCTATATGTACATATGCATGTGTGTATATATGTGTGTATATGTGTGTATGCATACACGCATGCATATCTTGTTCTTCAGTTATTTTCCAGTCATGTCTGACTCTTTGTGACCTCTTCTGGGGTTTTCTTGGCAAAAATACTGGAATGGTTTGTCCTTTCCTTCTCCAGCTCATTTCACAGATGAAGAAACTGAGGCAAACAGGGTTAAGGGACTTGAACAGAGTCGTGTAGCCAGTGAATACCTTAGGCCAGATTTGTACTAAGGAAGATGAGTCTTCCTGACTCCAGGGCTGGAACTCTATCTACTGTGCCACCTAGTACTCCCCCATACACATGCACATATACATACATATACGTTTGTATATATGCATATGTAAGTAAAGCATATACATGCATGTATATCTACAGAGAAACACATATATAGACATAAACATATACATATGTGTATGTATCTCTCTATAGACATATATATGAATATGCTCATATGTGAATTTATGGGTGTCTCTAGGGAGAGAGACTATATACACACACAGAGAGACACACATGTAGAGAAAGATACACACATATACACATACAGATAAACACTGTATATATAGACACACATATAAACACTGTACATATAGACACATACACGTATGTATATATAGACACACACACATAAAGACACATATAAACTCTGTGTGTATATATATATACATATATATACACATACACACATATAGAGAAATACATATACAGTGTGTATATATACAGAGAGATAGACGCACACACACATATAGACATACACACATATATAGATACACACATGCAGAGAAAGACACACACATATATATAAATACAATGTGTGTATATATATATATATATATAGACACACAGAGACATACACACAAAAATAGAAAGACACACACATAGATACATACATATTGAAACACACACATAAACACATAAACACATACACACATGTATGTTTGTAAATATGTACATCTCTATGTATGTATGTGTATATATATGTTTGTGTGTGTATCACACACATATGTATGTATGTATGTGTGTGGGGGGGACTGTGAGGGGGGAAGTGTCTCACGGGCTGGACACCTGTGCCTTTTGTGTGGGTGGCCCTCAGAGCCAGGGCCCCCACTGCCACAGCCCCCCTGGGCAGGCAGGCAGAGATTGGCTCATTAGCTGCTGCCTGATGACTCTGTAAAAAACAAGACAGTGCATCAAAGAGATTGTTTCGTTCAGCACTCTGTGTTGGCAGTCTGAATTTGCCTTGGGGCAGTACACAGAAGGGGCAGTTTTGGTTTATAGGTCCATGCTCGGGAGGACAGACGCTAAGAGACAGGACAGCCCTACAGACGGTGAGCCCCCGCACCCATCCTCTGCTCTAGGCAGGTGATGGATACAGAGGTGGTCTCTGCCCTCAAGGAGAGGAAAGCACATGTGAGGAGAGAGGACCAATGCTCTGGAAACAACAGCAGAACAGTTTTTTAAAAGGTCATGTTAAAAAGTCCCACATCGTGTCATACAGCATCGTGGTTGTTCAAGGGATATTGTTGAGGGCTGTAGGAAGAGACTGGGAGAGATCCAAGATAGAACCTAATCTGTGTCCTGAATGATGGGATATGTATGGGATATGAATGATAGGATTTGAAAAGGAAAAGATAAAAGAGACAAGGGCATTCTAGGTGTGAATGAAGGAATGAAAAGACAGGAATATGATCATTGAATATTTCTAGGATAGTTAGGAAATCCACTGGCTACAGTGGATGGTGTTTTTGAGGAGTGGGAAAGAAGTTTAGACGGTTAGGGTAGGGCCAGGTATCAAAAGGCCTTGAAAGTCAGATGAAAAGATTTGGACAAGATGAGGTAGGGAGGAAGTAGGGAGGGTGGTGAAGGTTTTTGAGAAGGAGAGTAATCATGATGAAAGACACACACATATGACATATGTAAGATACGCAGATCATGACATTGCAAGAAAATCAGACTAAGGAAAGTCTAAAGAATGAAGTGGATGGTGGAGAGCCAGGAATCATGGAAGCCATAAGGAGGCTGTTCACAGTTCACCAATCCACCTAATACTGTGTTCAAGGTGAAAGACGATGTGGTGTAGTAGAAAGAAAACTGACCCTGGAGCCGAGAAGACCGGGCTTCATTTTCTGCCTCTGAAACATACTGTGTGACCATGGTTAGATCGGTCACTCTCGTAGCGCTCCAGGTGTTAACTGAGGCTGTACATTTCAGAGAAGGTGCTGACCAGTATTGCAAAGGAAGCAGCATCTCACTCCAGCTCCTTATAGTGATAAAATCACAGATCTGGCCAGAAATTAAAACAAACTAACAAAAACATGAATAGGGTCATAGATACAAAGCTGGAAAGAGATTCAGAGGCCATCTAGTCCAATTCCCTCATCTTACAAAAAAGGAAATGGAGTCCCAGGGAGGGTTTGACCTGCCTTAGACATCAAAGGGAGGATTTGAACCCAGGTTCTCCGACTGAAGCCACTGTACTGCTCTGAGTCCCTCAATATACTATGCTAGACATGGGATACAAGGATCAGAAACAATGCTCTTGGGTTCAGGCAGAGTGGACTGAGACAGTAAAAAACCCCTTCTAAGCAGCCACGCATAAAGTAATGGATGGTGACAGTGGGACTAGGAAGAATCAGGGGCAGACAGAGATATTTCAAAAGAAAAATGCCCAAGATGTGGTATGTGTACGTGGAGATTGAAGGGGAGGAATGAACAGAATATGAATCTAAGATTGCAAGCCTGCCTATGTCAAACCTGGAAAAGCAGGGGTGCCACTGACAGAGGCAGAGATGTTTTAAAGGGGAGCAAGTCTGGGGAGAGGGATGCAGAGAGGGAGATAATGAGTTAATCTGGGGACATATTAAGCTTGATAGTCAAATGGAAATCCATAGACAGTCAACCTACTTTTGTCAGCCTCAATCTACCTTTCTAATTTGATTATTTTACTTCCCTTCCCTTACTCTATGGCTCAGCCCAGCTAGCCTTCTCGCCTGCCTCTCTATTTGCCCTCTATCTACCCTTCCTCTGCCTGGAATGCATTTCTACCACATCTCTGCCTTGTTTGCTTCAAACCTGACCTTAACACCTTCTACGTGAAGCCTTTCTCAATTTCCTTAGCTGCTGGCATCCCTCTCTCAAAATCTTGCCTTACGTTTATTTTATATAGATTTATTTATTTATTTATTTTGTGGGAGGAGGCAATCGGGATTAAGTGACTTGGCTAGGGTTACACAGCTAATACGCGTCTGAGGTCGCATTTGAACTCAGGTCTTCCTGAGTCAGGGCTAGCGCTCTATCCACTGACCCACCTAGCTGCCCCATATAGAATTATTTATGTTGTCTTTCCTGATAGAGTGTACTTTATTTTGGTCTTTGTATTCCCAGAGCTTAGTACAGTGTCTAACACCTAATTAGGCACTTAATAAATGCATGTGGATTGATTGACAGTTTGGACAGGTGGGGCTGGAGTTCAGGCAGTTGTATCGACCTGCAGCTTTAGATTGGGTCCTCAATGGAGAGAGGTTAGCTGAAGCCACAAGAGTAGAGCGGATCTCCAAAGGAGGCCCCATGTCCTCTAATACACACAGCCAAAGGACTGGCGCT